CCGAAACCCTAAACCTCCAAACCCCTAAACCCTGAAAGACAGGTGCTTGCATGAGGCCTCGCCGCCAAGGCCATCGTGGGCCCCGTTCCCAAGCTGCGGCCAAAGAGCTTGATACCTCGGGCGGGGTTTAGGGTTTAGGGTCTTTGAAGTAGCTCCGTAGTAGGGTTGATGACATAAATCGTGCATTACCCATAATAAGGAATATACCATAATTCCCATAGCTTAGGGTCCTTAAGGGAATGCAGGATTTACATCAATCACAGTAGGGTTTAGCGCTTAGGAGTGGTGGGCCTTAGCGTTGAGGCTTTAGGGTTTAAGGATCTGGGTGATGCCTTGGGCTCTTTGAGGCAGGCGGCGCCAAGGCCTAAGGTTTCTAAGGTTGTAAGAAAGCGGTTTAGGCGACCTTCGAGCTTCAGGAGAAAGGAAGATCACTCGAATCCGTCACTAAACGACTGCAACACCACACTTCTACGGCAACCGCACTGGAAGCACAAAGGGAGTCAGCAATCATGGGTCGCGACTAACACCAGTAATGGGAAACAGTAACAAGCACAAGTCGAAATTCCATTTCGAAGTTTAAGGGAGCTTCTATTGCGACACCCGCCTCACGCTGTTTGGCATGATGACGCCCGGTCTTTTCGAACTTCCGGAGCTGTACACTGCCTCAAGGTGTTACCCTGCTGGCATCCTCTGGAGACAAGAGCAATGTGTGAGACTTATGTGTACTATACAATACACGATAACATTACATGACTTAATGAAAATATAATGTAGCAGCATCTTATACACTTGAAAATATAGAATAACTATAAGCCTGGGCCATAACCCTTTGGACTATGGAGACTCAAATGCCGGCGAAAAGGTCGGAGAGCTCTTCTCCTGCTGCCTCCTCCTCGCAAGGACGAACAATCAACAGTCTAGCTAAAAGGCATCATGGCTGTTATAGCCATAAGGGAAGTCATGTTCCTCATTAATACTCATGGTGGTCCTGGTGGTGGCGATGTTCGTAGGCTTCGTCGCAGTCACTCGGAATCGCAGTCGCAGTCGCAGTCGTCGTTGTGAATTTCGTTCGTCGTCGTCGTCCTCCCTCATCCAAATCCGCGTCCTCGTCCTCACTCCCCACCTCCCCAACGTGGAACGACAGGGAACCGGGTATTGGGAACCATCCGTCCGGAGATTCAGGGGTTCAAGGTTGAAATGCTCTCTGCGTGGCCCTCGTCGTGGCAGCACGTGACGGCTTCTCTTTTTCTCCTACATCGCTTCACTTCAAGCGGTAGCTTCGCGGCTTGTCACCACGGTGGGCGTCTAAGCAGTGGATTGCAAGGCAGACAGCTTGGCCAATTGGTGCAGAACCAAACTGTTGATTCCTTCATTTCTTACTACTTTCACCTTCGCTTTATACTGTAGCTACTGCTTTGTCTTGAACCTGCTTAAGGGCCTTTCGAGGCGAGGTGCAAGCACAAACTAGTGCAAACCGCCCCTCATGGCGTCCCTGGACGCCGGTGGCCTTCGTTTGCCGCTGCCCCAGATTCGCAACGTGACTCTTTCACGACGACCGAAAGAAAGAATCATGATTATGATGAGCATCATCACCATCACCATCATCACCATCATCATCATAATCATCAGCGTCATCGTCATCGTCATGGGCATCAGTATTTTAGGAGAAGCAGCTTTGCACATGCTTCAAAAGATGCTGGCCATGCACACAACTTGCAGGTAGCCAGCTTACCAGCTTCCATTGTGCGGCGCCTTCGCCGCTGGTTGCATCATGCTCTTCTCATTTATGATTGACAAGAGTTCGGTCACAAACGTGCCGCAAATGCGAGTGGAACCCTGCAGCACTGGCCCAAGCGCTTAAAAAGGGGACCCTAATATAGTACCCTAAATAGTAGGATCCTTATTATAAGGACACCAATATAGGGTACCCCTGTCTAGAAGAGCGCTGGTTGTGGAAGCTTTTCACTTTCGACGGACACTTGTTGTGAACACTTCCCGTCTCCGGATTGTTTTCGTGAGCCCTGCTGAGCGGTGTCGTGGCAGTTCATGAAACGCTGCAGTGAGGTTCCAGTTGGACCAGCTTGTTTTCATCACTCTAGCTTCTCTTCGTGGGAAATGCAGGATACCTATGCATGCATGGATACAGTTGGACACACCTACCACGGACATGTGCACATGCAGCGCAACATATCGCACAGCATGCTAGAAGCTTAGGAAACCATGCTATTTGATACCTTGTACCTTGCAATTTTGCTGTGGGTCAACACCACAGTCACGCAGCAGGACATGCGACAATCCTACCAGATCCTAAACCCTGAACCCTAAACCCTAAACCCTTTAACCCTAAACCCTTAAACTCTAAACCCTAAAACCCTTAAACCCTAAACCCTAAAAAACTCTAAATCCTATCAGCAGGGAGCGCCGTCCTCGGTCTGCGCGGTGCCTGCCAGCTGTGCTTCGGCCTTGGCAGCCACCTCAGCCACATCGCAAAAAATCCTAAACCCTCAATCCTAAACCCTACACCACACCCTAAATCCTAGATCCTACACCCTAAATCCTCAGCCCTGACTCCTAAATCCATTAAATCCTACACCCTAAATCCTAAACCCTAAACCCTTAAACCCTAAACCCTAAACCCTAAAAAACTCTAAATCCCACCTCAGCCAGATCCACCACGGGAGCCTGGGTGGCTGTGGGCGTCCCGGGCGGAGAGATGCAGATCCAGTGGCCTTCTGACTGGTTCTTCGTAGGGAATGGAGGGTTTTTTTTTGGAGCCTTTTTCCGTCTGCTAGGTTCTAGCTCGAGAATCTGCACAGCAGAAGGGAGGGTTTAGGGTTTAGGGTTTAGTGTTTATGGGTTTTTGGTACTACTATAGGGGACCTTAAGGGGCTATCATAGGGATCCATTCCCCCATTCCCTACTAAGATCCAGTGGCCTTGCCGCCCCCCAGGTCCAGGTGGCTTTGGAGCTCAGTTCAAGGTGCTAGGGTTAGGGTTGAGGAGTTAGGGTTTAGAGTTTAGGGAGAAGGTTTAGGGTTTCGGGTCGAGGGTCTAAGGCTTTAGGGTTTGGGGTCTAAGGCCTAAGGTCTTAGGGTTGAGGGTCTAGGATTTAGGGTCTGAGGTTTAGGGGTTAGGGAGAAGGTTTCAGGAGCTTTGGGGCTTAGGGTCTCGGCTTTCGAACCTCACAGGAGTTTCTGCGGAGAAGGCTCAAGGCCTCCTCCATACCGATTGCTTTAAGAAACCTTGGGTTCAGGGCTTGGTTTCGGGTGTTCCATACCGATTGCTTTGAGAAACGTTGGGTTCAGGGCTTGGGGAATTAGGGCGTTTTTATGCTGGGTTGGTAAGAAGTTGGCCTCCCTTCTACTTTGGGCTTCCCTGGCCTTGGTCCCCGGCTGGGTTCAGCGGGACGTCTGCATCGACATTCAGAAACTTCGCCACGGCTTCGATGAGGTAAGGATTCCCACAGGCCAGCGCTGTGATGCCTCGCAGGTGCTCTACGGCCTCCTCCAGCTTCCAGCCAGCCTCACTGCACATCCAGACCAACACCGCCGCTGCGCTCCGGTTTTTGCCCATCTGACAGCTCACATTTACGCTGGCACCAGCATCACGGAGCCTTCGTAAGATTTCTAAAGCTTGCCCCAGCTGTTCTGCCCATTCGTCCACGCTCCCCTCGTTCACCTCACGCTCGTTGCTGAAGGCATCTCGCATGGGGACATGCAGGGTTTCTATGCCCTCGATATCGGCCGGAAACTTTTTGACCACTTCAGCTGCCATATTCAGCCTGTGTGTGATGCCACGCTCGAGCAGCTCAAAAGGTCGACAGGCCGTCTGAAAGTCACTCCACCAGAGGCCGAGGCTACCAGCTTTGTTTCCATCTCCGGAGAGCACACATCTTGAGCCGACCGGCGCCCCATCCCCGGAGGCTGCACCGCGCAGGTTGCCCCGTGCCTTGGGTGGTGGGATGCCCAGCACCTCGTCGGCTGCCCGTAAGACTGCAGCGGTGTAGACGTACCCGTTGGCAGCGTCCTCCCGAATCTCCGGGCAGCCGGATGAGGTAAGGCTTTGCCGGAGCTTCGCGCGTGCGCTCGGTGCGTCTGCTTTGGCCTCCTCCCGTTCACTCGGGCTCAAGTCGTGTAGCCAAGCCCGTGCCACTTCGGAAGGCGGGGCCTTGCTCCGGAAGCAGCTGAGCCAGCTCGGCTCACGAAGGGGAGCACTCATGAATGTCGTGGATAAGCCTCTAAGTCTGGCTGGCTGGCCGAACCCTACCTGTCACCCCAACATCAAGGTCGACTCGGATCCAGCAACAACGAGAACAATGAACATTGATAACGAGAGTAGCAGCAAAAACACTACAAGAACAGTAGTGACGCCAACAAAGTGTTTTGCTACTGAGGTCATGCCAGCAACAACCATCACCACGCTCACACCAACAATAACCACAAGAAGCCAATGGCAACGGCAATCTTGAGCGCACTGCGATGCTGATCCTACATGTCTGGTCAGGTGTACATGAGCTACTCGACCCTCTGCGATCCGATGGGGAAGCTGACTCTCAGATCCATAGACTCTCCTCCGCCCCTTGAGAAATCAAGCCTAAGCTGTAGTGGGAATCTTTCACATGAGTCATAAACCGCATCTGTAGCCGAAAAGACCTAGCTTTTGAGGGTACCTTGTTATGGTTTCTCTATCTATGTGTGTGTATGTATATATATATATGTATATATATATATAGTTCCTTAAAAAGGTCAGCCTTTTGGGCCAGAGGTGAAGCCAAAACAGGCAAGGCAGGGGAAGTCTAGACTCGGAAGCTGACAGGACAAACAGCTGAGCTTTCAGCCGTCCCTGGGCCACTTCAGATGGTGAATAGCAAACCTGCTGGATTGCCCGACGCTGCAGTTGAAGGCTTAGAGGTTTCAGGCCTGATGGTTTGAGGGGTTTAGGGTTTAGGGTTTAGGGAGGGGCTGAGTGCTTAGCTTTAGGTTTAGGGAAGTTCTTGATTACAGTAGTTTTGAGTTTCTGGGGTTCACAGGTGAGACGACAACCAGGACATGCGCAGGCGCTGTAAGCACAAGGGTTTCACAGCTTAGACCCAATGCAGACGAAGGCAAAGCCCAAACAACTGGAGCCGTGACTTGCTATCTTTGCCTGGGATGCTGCTCGGTTACTATATTGCTGTTCTACATTGCTACGATCCTCTGTCAATGTCATTTCTACTGCCTGCTTACAATGGTTGCATAATACTAAACAAACTACACTGATACGATTTGCTCTGAGATAGACAGTATCAAGACCAGTCACGGTAGTGATGATATTGATAAACCAAAATTAGTAAAGAACTCGAATACCGCTCTGTCTTGCGACAAGCTGCTCCATGGCGGCAGATGCGTTTGCCATCACGCCAGCCTGTCACCGGTCATCAGCGACATGTCGCACAGCCAGAGGCAGAGGACTGCTGTGGGTTTCGGGCTACTTTGAGTGACTAACAAGGGTTCCTAGAAAGGTTATTAATTGGGGTACTCTGGGCTCAAACTAAGGCTTAAAACACTTGCAATGGGGTTTGCCGACAGGCCTCATCGCATGTACCATGGCAAATGCCATATCCAGGATACCTGGCGCGAAGGAATTTGGATCAGATCCGGCATATGCCCTTGAACCCTAAATCCCAAACAGGCGAGTTTCGCTCGACGGCGAGAACGTGAACTTGGAAGAGATCTCTCAAGATCGTGCAGAAGGTGTGACTGAGGCCAAGATCCTGATGGGTGCTAGTAACTGCCAGAAGGAATCAAGTGGCATAAGCCGCCCACATCCTAAGCCCCAAACCCTAAACCATCCTAAACCCTAAATCCCAAATCCTCAACCCTAAATCCCAACCCTCAAGCCCTAAACTCTAATTCCTAAGCCCTAGACTCTAATTCCTAAGACCTAAAGTCGAATTCCTAAGCCCTAAACCAGCTTAAGTGAGTCGAGGGATGTCCTCCGCATTAGCATGGAAGTAGATGAAGAGGAACCTGCACAGAGTTTCGGGCTTAGGGGTATGGGGTTTAGGGTACAGGGCTTTGGGTTTAGGGTTTCGGCATTACTGTATAGAGGCTTTGGGTTTGGTGTTTAGGGTGCCTGGAGGCCGCTGGGCAGCACGCTGAAGCAACTTGGGCCACCGACAAGACCTCACGAATCCTGAACCCTGCCACTTAGTGCCCTAAAACCTAAACCCTAAACCTCTTGATACTTCGAACTAAATATAATAGAACCTAGGGGACCTAAAGGTTAACCTTTAAGGTTACATAGGGGTTATAGTACCCCAAAAAGGTGTTTCACACCCCTGAAGTATTGCAAACCACTCTGAACCCCCAAACCCTAAACCCTAAAACCCTAAACCCTAAACCCCTAAACCCTAAACCCTACACCCTAAACCCTAAACCCTTAAGCCTAAGCCCTAAGGCAAAGACATCGAAGCCCTCAGCAGCCGGCATTCATCGAGGAACCCGAAGCTCCTGAAGCCTTGCAGCCTCGACTCCTCCCTAAAGGCCTAACTTAGGGGTTTTGGGGGTGTCGGGTTGAGGGGTTTAGGGGTTTGGGGGTTTAGGGGTTTGGAGTTTAGGGGTTTAGGGGTTTAGGGTTTAGGGTTTAGGGTTGAGAACCTAAAGTTTAGATGTAAGCTGATCAAACTCCCTACACACTATGCCCTGAACCCTTCTCTGAGTGCACTGCCGCGCATGCTGAAACGGCAGGAACAAGCAAGGCACCTGACAGCTGACTAGTCAGGGCTCTGGGTTTTTGTAAAGGGAGTTAAGGGTTTAGGGTTTCGGGTTTAGGGTCTATGGTTAATAATATGGTTTCCTTATTATGGTAACTTAAATTAAATCCCAGAAGCCAGGGCTCCAGATGGCTTCTACGTCTACAACGCTTCCACAAGACTGGAGCTAGCAGAAGGCTTCTCTTCGGGTAACTCCTAAACCATGAACCCCTGAACCCCTGAACCCCAAACCAGTAAGGGTTGGGTGGAGGTCTAGGGGCCAGCATTTGGAGTGGACAAACGGTAGATGGATACCCCGCCGCGGAAAAAAATGCTTATACCTATGGCGATGAAGATAAGGAAGTTAATGAAGGTCTTGGTGATGATCATAACGATGAACAGAAGGAGCGAAGAAGGATCAGGAGACAAGGGAAAAACGCTAAGGATGAGGAAGGATCCTAGTGAGGAGCAGATGATTGGAATCGAGGAGGAGGAGGAGGAGGAGGAGGAGCAGGACGAGGACCATCATACATACCAGCACCAACACCATAACCATTACTACCACCATCACAACTGCCACTATCACCTTTAGCAACATACCATCATTGCTGCTTCTTCGTCATCTTCATGGCCATGTTCTTACTGCCGTAGGCTTCTTGTACACCATGACGATACTGACGCAGATGATTATGTTTACGAGGATAATCGTTGTGATGGTGGCGACAGTGATCACGCTTACTGGTGGTGATGATGGGGCGGATGTTTGTGATGCTGATAACGATGGTGATGCCGCTGCTCGGAAGGAATCTGGCAATTCTGGCGACGTTTCTGTCGATGCTCCTACTGGCGGGGCTACGGCTATCAGAATTCGGAGGCGCTACTTTAAGTAATGTACGGGCCTTAATAATTAGAATAGGGTTTTGGGGGTTCCTTATTATAATTATAGTATAATATACCCCAAACCCTATTCTAATTATTAAGGCCCCTATATTACAGACACAAGCGAGGTCCAGCTGATCAGAGCCTTTGCACCATCTTCGCGTGGAATGAGAATCAATTCGCCAGGGAAGCTGTTGACTGTGTACCTGGCATTTTTGGGTTTTAGGGTTTTTAGGGTTTAGGGTTTAGGGTTTAGGGTCATGCCTCGAAATGTTCAAGACCTTATCAAGTCTCGCAACCCCGACCCCCGCATGCCGAGACAAAGCTGCAAACCGGATGCGTGAACCTTGGTGAATAGGGTTTAGGGTTTAGGGTTAGGGTTAAGCTGGAAGAGCCCATCCACCATGTCATGCGCAGGTCACGAGGGAGTCGGCGCTGGAAAGATCACCCGCTCGATGAGGTTCCAGCTCTTGCTTCTGGAGTTCAAGACGACCCACATCCTGACAAGTGTAAGATGCTATCAAATAGTCTCAAGGTTTAGGGCTCAAATTGCTATGCTGACACAATAGTGGTCATCGAGCCGCAGGAATACCAACTGCAAAGCTGGCTCGCTTTATGTAGACCCTAAACCCTCAAACAATTGAACGATCTGTCCCTACCCCTTTATGGTGCTGGGTGTTGGGCCTGGGTTTGTGGTTACGGTTAAGGGAGGAATTCCTGCGACGTCCGCTCCAGCCTTCGAAGGATAGAGCATGAGGATACAAAGAAGTTGCGATGCATTGTAAAACAACGTCTCGTGGCTGCTGATGTACAGAATACATGCTGTGCATTATGGACAATATGTCAATATGAGATCGCACATCATAGACAGTGTACGACACATTACTATACAATACCAGACAGTACACACTCAACGAGACGGACCATGTGATACAAACTAGAATCAATAAAGACTAGATTAGCGCTCTAATATGCGGACAAGGCTGTACAGAATATGCTCACTTGACATACCACAGACTACGTATCTCAAATAGGTTATTTACAGTGTTGCTTCCTATACTGCAAATTGAGCAACATGTCCTATACACAAGCATGGCGAATGTGTCAGCACATGTACAGTGTACACCATGCATTATGCAGCATAGCGCTTAACAGTACCCCAGGAAAGCCGATGGTCCGATTGCAAGCACACAGGGTCCTCAATCAATGTATTCAACATGACCCAATGCTGCAGCCGGTCAACCACGATGTCGCCATGGCTTGCGTAGCTTGCAGATCTGAGAAATCTTGTGGTCTTGTGCAGAACTCCTGGGTGTTGGATTCTAGACTGCGGCGAAATCATGTCGTAGGTTTTGGGCTGCTCGCAGAGATGTGCTTACTTCGACAAAGTCTCACAGACTGCGAGCACATGGCCGACGTCAATCACAATGAACCCTGGCAGGCACTTCATCAGATGCTCGAGTACTTCAGGTTCGTTTGCGCCTTACTCAATGCACAACAGCCCATCCTTTTCCAACAGCTCTTGCATCGTGCGTTCTGGCACTTATGCCTATCCGCAGAGGTGTGCCTCAAACACTAGGGCTCGATGCCAATGTTCATGACCTGC